TTGATTATCTTATCAAATAAGATTACTTTATATGAAACAAAAAAGATATAGATATGAACAGCTTTATACTCAATTAAATGCATGTTTGAATAGGTTAGATAAACAATTGTGATAATAATCTTTATTTGATGATTATAAATTTTAAAAAATTAATAAATACTTGATAAATTTTAAAAGTAAATTTAATAATAACTGTTCTAGCTTTAATTTTTATTTGTGATTTATTGTTTGATGAAAAAAGATATATTGATTTTTTAAAAGAGAAAAAGATATTATGAGAGATCAAGAAGTATCCAATTTGTAATTCACATGTTTATCAAGAGTATCAATCTTATCAATATTCAAATAGAGAATATCAAAAATATATATTGATATTTTAAGATTCATTCTTCTTTAATGAAAATATTTGATATTTAGAGTTGATAATTGTGGAATACCTATGGTTATGCAAGAATAAGTATATGAGTGTCAAGATAATTACAGTTCATTCATCTAAAACAATTGTAAAATATATTAAATTATTTAGAATATTAATTATAAAATTATTGAGAAAAAGTAATATAAAGATAGGAGACTTAAATATGATTGTTGAAATCGAGAAAATTAAAATTTAAAAAAAATAAAAATTTCTGGGTGATTGAAAAAGTTGAAAGAACAATGCAAAAGAAATGTTTTTTCAAGATAATTAGGGATCAAGATATGAGAATAATGAGAAGGGTGATCAAGAAACATGTGAAACTAGGATCAATTGTTCATATAGATCATTGGAGAGATTATGAATATGTGATAATAATAATATAATATTGATATAAAAGGGTGAACTATTCTTAGGGATATGTATTATATGGTACAGATGTTTATACAAATAATATTGAGAGATTGTGGAATAGTATTAAGATCAATCTATTTAGTCATAAATGTGATGAATATGAGATCAAAAAATATCTGATGGAGTTTATATAGAGAAGAAAACATTATGATGATTTGTGAAATAGATTTTTGGATACTTTGAAGAAATATAAACTATAAATAAATGTAAGAAAATAGATTTTATCAAAAATATCTTTTCTGAACAAAATATATTTTACTGTATAATATTTAAAAACATTATCAAAAAACAAAATAATAATTTTTCTTTAAGAAATTTATACAGTTTATTAAGAAAATTTAATTGTATTGCTATCACTATTATCAAAGATTTTATTCAATTTATATGAATTATTTTTGAAAAGATCTAATTATCTGATATTTGATTTATTTATTTATTATTAATAACAAGTATAAAATCAAAAAAATAATTCTGACTCTCATCCTAGAAAGCTAACAAAACAAGATTTAAGTGAGTCTACCAAAATTAATACAACTTGAGGAATGAACCAGACAGCTTTTCCATCGTGTTAAAAGAAAGACCAAACCAAATTGGTGATTCCATTACATTTGATTTCCGATTCATCTGGCATATAGGACATTAAATTTATAAGACCATTTTACTAGATTTTTGAATGTGGTGAGATGGAATATTATATCGGGTCGTCTAAATTCGCAGTCATTGTTTGAAATTGAAAAGGATGAACATAGGCAGTCAAGTATAATTAAAAAATCGAAATAAAATAGCATATGAATGGTAAATGCCCCTAATGCATGGTTCTTGATCGCAAATCTCTTTCTAAATGGAGTTATTAAGAAACCCGTATTGCTGCAGTTATTAAGTATTAGTCGTCGTTAATGTAAATTTGATAATTGTCTGGTGAGCGTGTTAAAAACAAATAAATTTATGGAATTTTAAATTAATTCATATTTTTTAATAACTTGATATCCTATTGAGAACGACTTAATATTATAATGCTTTTTTCGATAAATTAGGATACCTTCTTTCGCTTTGAAAAAATATTTGTATTTATATCGATCCTTACGTGAAAAACACGATGGTTAAAACAACCTTTTTACGTAATCTTTATTTCAAACGTCTTGGAGATGACACGACGATTATGCACACTGTTTGTGCGACTGCAGTATAAGACGTTACACGAACGGCTATCCTATAAGTAGAATTTCATAATGAGTTCTATCCTTAGAGTTTTACTTTAGAATTTACTTTTTTAAAGAGAAAGAGATCCCATATTTCCTTATTGATATGTTATGCATGGCTTAAATTCTTATATACTGTAACTAACTAGGATGCATATCTTAATAAACATAAAACTAATTCGATGTCATCTGCTACGGATAATACAGATACGTAGTAAATAGCTTAGAGAAAGTTTTATCATAAGTCTAACGATTTGTTGTACAATAGTCATTGTCGATTTTGCCATGATTTTGCCATTAGATATTTTTAATTCTGATGCACGAATGGCCGAGTAAGTTATTATTGAAATCCAAGAGAATCGAATGTTAAGGTAAAAGGTAATCCGTCATTTTCGAAAGGTGAGGGAGACGAGCAATCAGTGTTTATAGATGAAGTCGGCTCGGCGAATTCGAGTTGCTGAAAGAGTGAATGTTCAACGGGAACTGATTGTACAAATTCACTCGAATCCAACAATCCGGATTGAGCAAACTCAAATGGTCTAAATTCATCGAGAGATGTATTTAAAAAAGTCTCATCATAATTCGTCGGATTATAATCGGAGGCGTAGTTTTCGATAGAAAAGGTACTGGTCATAAAATCGTGCTCCGGCGCATCGTACGCAGGAACTTCATAGAAATTTTTATACTCGTCCGAAATCTCACTCCGGAGAAAAGTTGCAAATGATAAATCCTCGAGAGATGTATTTAAAAAAGTGTCATCATAATTTGTCGGATTAGAATAGGAGACGCAATTGTCAAGAGAAAAGGCACTAGTCGGAAATTCGTACTCCAACGCATCGTGTGCAGGAACTTCATAGAAAATTTCATAATCATCAGACATTTCACTCCCGAGAAAAGTTGTGGATGACAAATCTGATTGAGAGGTACCTGAAGAAGCCTCGTGATAATTTGTGTGATCGGAATCGCGATTTTCAAGAGAAAAAACGCTAGTCGGAAATTCGTGCTTTGAGGCATCATGCGCAAGAGTTTTATAGAAATTTTTGTATTCATCTGGCATTTTATCCCAGAGGAATGATGCAAATGGTAAAACTTTGTTTCTGTTGATCTTGAGATCAACGGATGTATGCATAGAGTTACATATTTCGTTTACGAATAAATTCCAAGCATTTGGGTTTCGCTTTTTTTTGGTCTTTGCGACTTCCTGATTTTTACTAGAGAGAACCTTTCTATATTTTTTTCGGGACGTCTGCTTTTTACTAGCAAGAGGCTTTCCATTTTTTCGAGTCATGATGCTGATAGAAATTTACTTATCTGCAGAAAAATTGAACGCCTTTTATACGCATAACACAAAGCACTAGGAATGAACATTAGAGAATATTGAATTGTAATTTTTACTCATATTTCGCATAAATAAACAAACAAAAAATAAAAATGAAGAAATGCATAAAAATATAATCTCCGATTACAAGCGGAAATGACAAAGGAAAAAAAAATTCCATGTGGAGACCGCAGAAGAGTAATATATAAGTTACTTGATCTTGGCGTCCTTCCATTGTTCCATCGAGGTTAGTTATAATTGAAAAATGGATCATTATTATGATGTATTTTTAATATATTGAACTATGTACTAGATGAACTTCTTATGATACAAAAAAAAATATATTGAAACCCTATATTATTTGCGAAAAATGAGATAAAGATTCGTGAAATGTAAGGATGATCTTATCTTTCGTAGTAAGATGAACATTTTTCTTATTGATTAAATAATAACATCATATTTGTAAAGTTAGGCAAAATTTTCAATTTATCGGGCGAATGAGACTCTAAGGAAAAATGTTCTGCAGCTTCTGCAGAAGTACTCTAAATATATTTCCAGCGAAATGTTTAACATTGAAATTCTCGTTTTCATCTTAAAATGACAAAAGAATATGGGTGAATGAAAAGAAATAATTGCCTTTGAAAAACTCAAAGACCTTTGATCAAAGTTGGTGATGCAACAAGTGCAGTTTTATAATACGCGTGTCCAATAAATTGATTGAACAAGCTGATGATTAAAGATGTGTAGCAGGAACTCAGGACATGACTTCAACTGAATAATTTCCTAAATTGGTTATTCCTTTATTCTATCAAAATGTAATACAAAAAACACAAAGATACTGTACTTGTGATTTAAGAGGCAAAAGAAAAAATTGAACTGCATTGTTGGTACACAAACCCATTCGTTCGAATGAATTGATATTCAATATTGCGATTATTCTTACTAATGATTGGTACGCGCTACTTTTAATCTGGACTCAAAGAATATGAACTTAGACATATATAGGTTTGTGAAGCTTCTCAGATAATGTTTTCGGAATTACTGAATTACGTATCCACAAAATTGTAATGTCGATCGATTGCGTTTACGAAATCAATGATGTATGACGCTGCCCTTTTTTACTTGTTATGGGTTGACTGTGCTGCAAAATTAAATCGATATCTGAAATACAGTACTTACAGTACACAGAAATACGTAGGTGTTATTGTTGATAGATGGAGACTTTAGGTTCAATTGAGTCTTTATCTTCTTTGCTTATGTCAAAAAAATTTGCAATTCTACTTGATTTTTCTTTTTTGTCAAAAAAATTTTTGACATAATTTAAATGATATTTGATATATAGTACCAAGCTCAACCATTACGTACCTACAATTTCTTACTATTTATCTTTAAAAACTAGACAATAAAACATTTATAGCGATTCAATATTTACTGTACTGTAGTCTAATAAAAAAAGGTCACATTTAAATTTTATTAGAAAGATACGTACATTTACTATAAAAGGATTATTTCCGCAAGAATCAAGTACGCAAATGCAAGATGATAAAAAAAATAAACACACTGATACGAAATAGGAATAAATGCAAGAAAGAATCAACATTCCATTTTCTCGAAGCTTGGCCTCCGGTTTCTCATGAAGATATGAAGATATGATACCATATTCATCATTCGCCGATGACTCCACTAGGATTACGCACTCCGTAAGAAGATGCCATGAGGTGGCTGTGTACATAATATGGAACGTGCTGCGTACTCGCTAAAATGCAGTGCGTACAGTTTTATAAGGGAACGGATCTCGGAACCCATCTGAACAATGCATACCACGTATATTACAGCTACGTACTCTCATAGTCATAGTCTCGGCACTGGTCTCATTAATTTAATGGAATAAAAAATGAGCGGCAGAGTCTTCTTAACAATTGAGACCGTCTTAATATGAAACTCACAATTTTATGTTTTCGTATTTTTTAATATTTGATAGCATACATTTTTTGGACTGATGATAGTATAATTATTGCTATTTCAAATAAAAAAATCTCTTTCTAAAAATAAATCTATGCTAAACATTTTCGAAATTAATCAGCATCATTAAAATATCCGTTTGCATTTATATTTAAATGAATTAAATAGATAGCTTCTAAAAAAAAAAAAAAAGGTTTTTTTTTTATGGGTAAGAAATTTATCATAAATTTTTTTATTAAATAACCGTTTGATAGAAACCATAAATTCGATATTAAATATGCTGCATATATAATGGGAAACACTTGCTTTTGAAATTTTTTAATCAATTATAATTTGATTTAAATTACATACTGCAAATATATTTTAATATATAAAAATCTCTACATATAAAAATTTTAACAATAATTGATAATTTTATTTGAAAATTAAAATTTAAATCCAAAAATTTTAGGTAAAAATTAATATACTGTATATATAAACTTATATATAAATCATGCACATAAAAATCTTTATAAAATTTTTTTCTAAGTGATGGTTAAAATTTTAAAAAAATTTCTTATAATAAATAAAATTATTTATTTAAAATTGTTATTTAAAATTGTTTAATTTTAATATAAAATTCTTAAAATCTTATATCTTTATTTATTTTAAAAAAAAAACTATATTTTTTTAATAATAGAAAAAACTATAAAATCGATAATAAATAATATTCTTTGCTTTTATTTAATAAACTAAAATATTAAATAATTTTAATATAAAAAATTTTTGTATTATCAAGAGTTTAAATATCAAATTTGATTAATTAATAATAATTACTATTTAAAATAAATATTATAATTTAATTTTTATTTTTATAATATAATAAAATAAAAGAAATAAAATAATTGGTTAAAATTAAAAATAATAATTCATATAAAATATGTATTTTTTATTTTATTTTATATTATTATTATTTTATTTACAGTATTTATCTTGTATTACAAAAATAAAAATCTAATTATGCTATTCTATTTTATAAAATATTAAGAATTAAAATATTTAATTAATATAAAATATATTCTTTCCGCTGATTCTCTGACCACACTCAAAAAGATGTTTACAAGAAGTTTTTATATTTCTTTGTTAACAAAGTCTTAACACTTTCTTTAAACTAACTTGAAAAAACTTCAAGAGTCATCACCACTTCTCTCCCTTCTTGTTAATATTTCTCTTCAAACAAAAACTTGACCACTAGTAACCTGAAAGTCAAACAACACCTTTCCTATCAAAAGCAAGAAAGTTCTGAAAGGTAGAAGAACCAAAGTACCATTATTTTATACTATAGAAAAACACCACAGAAGTGTTTGTATAATGAGAGACAACTTTTCCACTCTCTTGTCATATTTCTTTTTTTTATAGTGCTTGTTCTTGATTTTTTCTGAAGAATTTTGTCTATTTCAGTTTGACCCTGAATTTTAAGTAGCACAAAATTTCTTATATCGTGATTAGACAGATAGAGCTCATATTGGTAAAAGAAGTAAACAAGCTCTTATTGTTCATATCACGTGTTTGAATGCATTTCCTCAGCTCCATAAAAACTTAAAGTCCACCATAAGTCACTGAGAATGGTGTGGGTGGATACAAATCATAGTAACTGACACATTTCAGGAAACAGGAAAGAGTCCATCTGACCATGATAAAGGTCACAAGATACTTCAATTTTTTTTGGAATTGAAGTCACCTACCCTTGACAGTTAAATAGGTTCCTTCTGCTCTCACAAATAAGTAAAAATCTGTCCTTTTTCTTATAAAAAACAAACAAGGTGAACAGAAAGTTTTTTCCAGCCGATGGATTTTTTACTCCTGATTTATGGTTTGTTAGAGAATTAGAAACCAAAGCTACACCAAGGCTCTCAACGAACCTTACCCTTAAGAAAAGCTTTAAAGCTCCAGTGGTACCCACAATTTTTACTTGTAGTGAAAGTATTAGTTGAAAATATTTGTCAGAATAGAAGAATCCCTTCTAAGCTGAATCTACCTTTAAAAGTTTTGTACCTTCTTAAATAAGCAGCAAATGCTTGAAGATGATATTACTTACAAGACTGGATTTGTCAACCCCATTAAAGGTTTTAAGGTATCTCCTTGGCCATAGAACCCACCAGGTCTTTGGATGAGTAATTCCCTTCCCTTCTTTTATCTTTTTCCCTTCTGAAGATAAAGAGACACAGTACTCTGGTGAATAATTTGCAAGGAATTGAATTGATCGATAGTGATCTCTGATAAATAATCAGCAGAAACAGAAAATTTAAGTTAATTATCCAGTATTTCACATAGTTTTAAGAAATTTTTTTCAGCACTAGTTGGATCTTAAACTAGTCCTCTTTTCCTTTCAAGAGGTGGTCAGGTCACAAGGTGAAGTCTTCACAAAGAAGCTCTTCTATTATAACACTTTATTTGTTTAAATGTTTTTTATATATAGTCTCAAAGGAACTCAGTTTCCTTTACCTTATGTAAGAATTTTTCAATAAAGTTCCGGCTTAGCCAGTGTTTAAAAAAAAAAAAAAAAATTAATATAAAATACTTTATTAAAAATTATCAATAAAATTTAAATCAATTTAAAAATATTAAACCTTATTGAAAATTGAAATTATAATTATTATAAATTAACAAATTATCAATTCTATTTTTTAATAAATATTAATAATAAAAAAATATAAATATTTAATTAAAAAATATTTAAATTAAAAAAAAAAATTTAATGAATTAATAAATATTGAAACAAATATTTGAAAAATAAAAAACTATTTTAATATTTATGAAAATATAATAAACAAAATAAATTAATAATAAAACTATTTATTTAAATAATTCAATATTTGAATAATATATCAATATTAAAATAAATATTTTAAATTACATATAATTATTTAAATAGATATAAAAATATTATTATTAATTTAAATTTATTATAAATTTGCAAGAAATATTTATATATAAAATTAACAAATATTATAATTTATAATATTCAAAAACAATATAATTAATTTTATTAATAATAAAAATACAAAATAATCAATAAAAAGTATAAAATAAATATATCATATAGTTTTAAACTAATTATTATACTAAAAATAAACAAAAAAATCATAAATTTTAAACTATATAAGAAAAACAAAAAAAAAAAAAACAAGGAAATATAAAAAAATAATAATTATATAAATAATTAAAATTTATAAAAAAATTTGAAATTAAAATAAAAATTTTATTATAATTTATAATTAATATATAGAAAGTTTTTATTTAATTTGTTAATAAAATAATAAGTCATTATATAATTCTATTTAAAATTTTATAAATTAAAATTAATAAATTAGTTAATGAATAAACTATTACAATATATACAATTATTTTAATAAAATATACATATTAATATAATAAAAAGTTAAAAAAATAAAATTATTATGATAAAATATCAACTCTTTTTGCTGATCCTCTGCATATATACAAAATAGATATTTATAAGAAATTTTTATTTTTTTACTAATAAAGTCTAATACTATTCCTAAATTAACTTGAAGTTGTACTTCAAGAAATACTCTTAAATTTCTTTCATGTTTATATTTGTCTTCAAACAAAGACTAGACTTCCTATAATCTAGAAAAGTCAAGAAATACTTTCTCTACCTACAGCAAGAAAGTTTTGTAAAGAAAAAGAATTAATAGTATAATACTTGAAGCCTTTTATATTGAAGTATGTCTATAAAAGTTATCTACAATGAGAGGCAATAAATATCAAGCCATATTTCAAAATATCTGTCCACTGTTTCTTTTCTCTTATAGTTGCTCAAAAATTTTTTGAGTTTTTTGGGAAATTTTGCCTACCTCAGTTTGACTCTGAATTTTAGGTAATACAATTTATTGCAAAATATAATTGGTGGATACATAACATGTTAATAGCTAAATATAAACAAGTCTCTACTGATTATCTCATATATTCTAATAACATCATTAGTAATTGAAAAAATTGATTGATGTTTCATATCCATTCACTCCTCCAATTGGATTAATCTACTGATCAAGTTCTATAAAGCCAATAAGATACTGCACAAGTCTCCAAATGGTAAAAAAGCTACTATTTGTTCAAGCAGTGATCTTTATCATCTATTATCCTAATTAGTTGAATTCAAAACTAAGGTCTTCTTTTTATTCTAATTAGGCAATAAAATCAAATAGTCTCTAATATATACTAAGCTTCAATCCTTTGATTACAGTTGAAAATATATTTTCACAAAAGTTGTTGAAGAATATTATAATCAATAAGGATCCCATCACTTTTTAGACCCTCCTATCATTATAAGACAAAAGAATTATTGAAGAATCTGATCTTTTGAGTAATGAAAGATATATTTCAGTAAAATTCTTTTAACTAAGTGACTGTTGAAAAATATTAGATTGAAACAATATGACTCAGTTCCTATTAGGTTAAGTAAGAATCTGAAATCTATCATAAGTCACTTCTCTAATATAGGTAATGATAGATCCCTAAAGTATTTAGTATATAAAATTTTACAGATTATTTATATCACTTTTTAAGGAATAAAATTTATAGCTCTTTACTTTAATAGGAACAAAAGTCAAGAAATGCCATAAATCAATAATTTTGATAATGGTAAACAATTGTGGATAGTTTCTTTATAGTTATTAATTTAAAAATTTTAATATTTTCTAGTAATTTGAATTTTATTCCTGCCTCCCTCTTTAGGAACCCATCTTTAATCACAAGTAAATAAAA